GGTGTATGTGGCTGTTGCCCTAGCCGCTTGAGCCACAGGCACTGAGCCCATTTTTCATATTTTTTAAACAGAACATCCTTTTGTTAAAAGCTCAGTTAGAAATAAATCCCAATACTTACTGGCTCCAAATATTTGAGTTAAAATGCTTTTCTGATGGCCACAGTCGACATTGTAAGGGGTCTCCCCTGCTCTGTTGGGTCTGTAAAGCAGCCGTCCATCTTTGGGGTTTCTTAGAAGGAGTTCTGCCAGCTTTCGGCTCCTTCCGCGGATAGCAATGTGCAAAGGGGTGTCTCCTTTCTGCAAAATAACATATGGAACTTGGACTTCCATATCTTTACATGTAGTATATACAGAGTAACAATTTCCATGTTTCTGTAAAATAACAGAACTCTGACATTTTCATACTTTTCATTTGGAGCAGAGACAGAGTATGAATTTTTACTTCTACCTCCCCCACATTTTTTTCCTCTGGTTCCTCACGCAGCTTTTCTCAGAAATCGCCGTGCCCCTCTGAATGAAAGTCATTCTTGTCCCCTTCCCTCAACTCACTGAAAGGAGAAGCAGCAGGTTCCTTCCTCCCTGCAGCACCTCCCAGGCCACGGGTCCCCCCCCCTTCACTGGTACCTACCCATCATCCAAATCTTCACTGCCATAGGGTGTCAGTCCCTTCCTGAACTGATCTGTAGTCTACTTCACAGGGGTCTCCGTGTGTCTAGAAAGCCCCACGATCCACGCTGCCAGCCCATCTAACACGAGGCATTCCAATAGCACCTGCAACCTCAGTCAACCACGCAGCACCAAGGGGAGCCCTCCAATGTTGTTACTCTACACTCCCCACTCCGAGTCCTTCAGGCAGTGTCTGTCCCTCCCTGGCCACTCCGGGCTCTGCCACTCCCCTCACCTTTCACCTCTCCTCGTTAACATCGTCAGGCATCTTAGTGCCCATGTCTGACATGAACGGAAACCAGTGAGAGAAACCCACAGAGCCCTCCTCAGTGGGCACAGCACTCTGCCGCGCACTACTCACACGCCCCTCTTGGACACAATCAGTGACCCAAACCTAGCAAATTAAATCCTCAGTTCTCGGTGTGACGTCTCGTCATCCCTCAGACTGAACACAACTGAACCTGCCGTCGGTACCTTACTTCCCCACCTCAACTCCACTTCTCATCCCCAAACCTGTGCGAAGGCGAGTTTCATCAGCAGTATTCCTGGCAGACACCAGATTTCTGATACTTCAGAGATTTCACACACCCTGATAACATGCTGAGATAAAGATAGCAGAGATGGGCTACACAAAACTAACATTAATCTTTACTCTCAAATTTGTTTTTAGGAAATTCTCTGTGAAGAGCCAGGTGCAAGACATACACATGTTTGTAACTTAAATCCTGGCAGGAAGCACCTGTCCATCCTCAGTAAGAATGGGTTAAAGGAATGGACAACGTTCCAACTGCCCGGTGAGTATCTGTCAGCAAGTTTCCCGTGCTGACTCTGGGCACAGCAGCAAACAAAAGGAAACAAAGACAGAGGCCTTCAAGAGAATGACTAGGAAATAATCGTTCACAAATAGCATATTACATAATTAAGGAGGCTGTATAGAACCTTAAAAGGTATAGCCCATATTGCAAACTGGGGACCAGTAGCAACAGAATGAGGAAAACAGACATTATGGAAAGTTTACTTTATTTATTTATTTATTTATTTATTTATTTATTTTTGAGACAGAGCCTCAAGCTATCCCCCCTGGGTAGAGTGCCGTGGCATCACGCTCACAGCAACCTTCAACTCCTGGGCTCAAGCAAGTCTCCCGCCTCAGCCTCCCAAGTAGCTGGGACCACAGGTGCCCGCCACAACGCCTGGCCATTTTTTGGTTGCAGCCATCATTGCTGTTCAGTGGGCCTGGGCTGGGGATTCAAACCCACCAGCCTAGGTGTATGTGGCTGGCGCCTCAGCCGCTTGAGCCACAGCCGCCAAGCCGGAAAGTTTACTTTAAAGCTTTTTACAATATTCTATTTCAAAAACTCTTCTTTGATTTTTTTTGTCCTTCCTAATTTTTAATATTAAAATTTCCTCTCTTTTACATGAAATTATATTCATAAGGCAATGATAGATGGAGGAATTATTTTTGGTTTTGCTTTTATTTTTTAAATAATGTTGTGAAACGAGAAGATAAAAAGCAAACACACTGATTCTGTTTTTTTGTTTAACTGTCTCCTAAATAACAGAAAGATAAACGTTAATCTATTATGAGTTAGTGAAGCTCAGATCATACTTTTTACAATATTTCTTGCTTCATACGTAAATCACCTTTTATGGAGGAAAATCAGTTTGAAGTAGAGAAGGAAAGAAGTCTGTTTAAAATGAAAACTAAAATCAGACATCAATTCTGTAAGAAGTAGTAAGCAATTCAGAGCTAAACTTATTAGAGAAAATGAAAATTTCTCTAAAATGGGTTCATAACAAGGACACAGGCAGAACACTTCCTCTCCTGCCAGTGAACAGTAAGTCTGCTTTGAGAGTCTGCCTTCTCCAGCCCTTGGGCTCTTCCCTTCTGTTTATGCACAAGCAGCTCTACCCCGAGGAAGGCCTGCTCGTGTGCTGGTCCAAGGCAGCGCACCCAGAACTGGTGTGAGCCGTGGGAGGAAGCCAGAAGCAGCTTCATTAATAGCTGTCCCGTGCACTATAGGAACACCACTAGAATCCCGCGCAGACAACCTGGGATCAAGCTCAGGAGCAAGCATCTGAAAATCAGGTCCCCATGCATCTACTACATATAGAGGTCAGTCTACCAGCAGCTTTCCAAAAAGTGATCTGCAGGCGAGGTGCAGTGGCTCACGCCTATAACCCTAGCATTCTGGGAAGCCAAGGCAGGAGGGTCACTTGAGCCCAGGAGTTTGAGGTTGCAGGTACCTATGCCCATGCAGCTGCACTCTAGCCCAGGCAGCACAATCAGACTCTGTCTCAAAACAAGAAAGAAAAGAGAAAACGTGCTGCCCACGTAGATGCTTTACCTTATCTACAGCAGACACTTTAGCTCCTTTATCCAGCAGCAGCTCCACCACTTCAATGTTCCTCATCTTGGTAGCCTTTATAAGTGGCGTTTCACCATCCTGTGGGCACAGATAAGAATGTCTGCCATATCAATAACTTTACAGCTAAATGTCTGTCATATAAATGCACAAGATTCTGACTCTCAAAAATATCTGACTCTGCTGTAACAATCGAATATTTAAATGTTCTCAAGAAAACACAGTTTAAAGGCAGTAGATGAGCTACTACAAGGAGGGGTAGAGGAATGAGTAAGGGGGGGCATGGCGGGGAATGGAGGGGGATGGGAGTCACGGTGTATGGCACAACCATGGAGGCAGGACACAATTCTAAGAGAAATTTTATCTAACAAATGCAATCAGGGTAACCTAATTCTTTACCCTCAATGAATCCCAAACAATAAAATAATAATAAAAGAAAACATAGTCTAAAAGCTAACTGAAAAGTTGTTTTCTTTTCACGATGCTTGCTTGTACTGAAATAACCATACACCCCTCAGCCAGGTGCAGGATGTGTCTGCCTGCATCTATCACTCCTGAAGCAGTCTCTGCCCTCGTGGGCTGCTCCTGTCACCCCAGGTTCCACCAGTGACCTCTGGGGCAACCC